TCAGTCATGCTTGTTCAAATAAAGCAGTAAGTTTGTTTCTCTGCTAGTTACTGACCCCAAAGTCATGAGTAAGGGATCATGAATAATGTGTAAAGGCTGTAACTGGTTCAGAAAACCTTTAATTGGCTAATTAAAAAAAGTCCTATAAGGGGCTGCAGAGAATCACCCAAAATGTTCCTAATGCAGACTGACGTTTTGATTTTCCCCAAAGTTTGAAGCAAGACTCTTGGTATGATCACAGTTAGAGAGTTAGAGAGGGTAGAATTACCTTCTTCCAACAACTCATTCATTCCTCCAAAGAGTGCTGACACAATCAGATCTCTCATCAGGGTTTAATGCTAAGTCTCATAGTCCTGAAGCAGCACAAAAATCTCTATTTCCTGAACATTTCACTGACCTGTGGTGTTAAAGACTTGCCAACTAAGACAAACCATTTAAATGAGCAGGGAACCACAACAGTAAAAATACTGTGTGAGGCAGCAGTGACTGGTAAGACCTCAGGGTCTAAATCCAAAAATATTTTATCATCTTTAGTGGAACTACTGCTCTTTTCAGAGGCGTGGGTTGGATTCCCTGCAGTGGAGGTAGAATTTGAGACATGCCACACATGTGGACCTGGCCCTAAGTTCCTGTGTGATCCACACATGTACCGGGACACTCTTGTAGTGCCTCTGGCTGGCACATATCGATGGCAGGACAGCCCAGCGCTGAATGGAACTGGCAGAGCACACGTTCTCTACATCTGACAGCTCTCACAGTACTGCAGCAAAAATGATGCTGTTGCTCTTTTGCAGTTTTCTTACCTCTCCACTGTCGAAGCAGGTTTAATTATATGCAATAAACAGCTATCTGTACTTGTAGACTTTAGATTAAGTTATTAGTCAAGCTGGGGCTTAATCTCTGTTTGCAAGCAGGGAGGGGACCACTCATTATCCCCTTTGTGGCATGACAGAGTTAAAGGGTAATTAAGGCCAGATTGGACCTCAGGAGGTTTGCTCAAAGCGAAATGCATCTGTAGTGTTTAGGCACCACCTGGGTTACAACACTGGCACTGAAGAAAAGGGCCTACTTCACACACCCAACTCGTGACACATGTTTTGTAACTGAGAGCTGTGCTTCACCATCTATCAGCATTATGATTATTAACACATCCATACAATAAAAATGCCATCTTTTACTTTCTTCAAACATCCACTTTAGTTTCCTCCTAAAAAATTCTCATTTGTGCACATTCTAAAGATGATAAATGTGTTGACAGTTTGGTGCAAGTTTTCTCTGTTCAAAATTTCCTCGAGTTGTCCTACAGATGGGCCTAAGACTTCTCAGTTTATTCCTCCTGCTCTCCATTAACTCTCTGAGAGCACATAATCAAAAAATCTCTTTTCATTCCCAGCAAAAAAGGAGAAGCTGAAGTAGGTATTTCTGAATGCAGTTGTATTTTTCATTTTATTAACAGCCTCCTTCATCCTTCTGCCAAAAGCTCACCATAATGTGCGTATCCAGGGGGGTTAAAGGAAAAGCAAATATTGATTGTCTCGAGCTAAAGTTTGTATATTCGCAACTATAAAAATGAAGCAGTGAGACAGATGGAGCCACATCATGATATTTAATCATAAAGGTCAGGGAGTGAGCTGCAGAGTGGTTATATTCAACAGGGCTTCAGTGCTGAGGAACGGGGATTGCTGCTGCTGACAGATACGTTAGAAACCTGTGTAGCTGCCACGTGCATGAATATATCCAAACAGGAGCATCTATCATCATTAGAATGATAACCCCAAATACATTTATTTCTTGTTTGGTTGGGCTTATTCTCATCCTTCCTTTTAATCTCCACAGACTTTGGACTCAGCCTAAGCATCATTTGATTTTTATGGCTGGCTTCATTAGCTTTTAGTGCAATTTCAGTGGCTTGGTTACTAAATCAAATCCACTGTGATTGTGGTTGCATATGCTTCACAGGCCTCTTGAACACAGCAGATGACTTGGAGACCCATTTATCCTTTATTTTATGCATTTTGGACCAACAAATCCTTTTGATTTCTACCTTCTTTGTGAAGTTAGTGCTGTTGTATCTGCACACACTGTTTGAATTTAGCAGTACAGAAACAAAGATGAAAACATTCTGCCTGGAGGAAAACCAGTGTCAAATATTCCCGCTTGGCTGTCCTCGTTGTCAGGACATCTTCATATTGCATTGCTTAGACAGTTCCCGATGTGTGTCTCTATTAGAGCTTTATTTTGTTGCGTCCTTTTCCCTCCTTTTTTCCTCAGAGAACTATAAAAAATTCTCTTTGGGTTTTTCTTCAGGGGGGGTGTGGGAAGGTTCTTTAACACATACTATCATAGTTTCTTTTCACTAAGATCACCTAGAAGAGGAATTAAGTATTTACTGCTTTGTCATCAGACGATGCATTTAGTATTTGCTGGATTAAAGCCCTGGTATTTGCTGGCTTCCCCTTTCCTGAGATATTTACCATTTCAGCTACAGTGAAGCTTTAGCTGCATTAATAGGGTTATAGATTTAACCTGCAACGGTCCAAAGTAGTGGCCAAAGTGAATGTTTATTGTTAGAAAATGTAGTGTTTTCCATTCCTGGGCACAGCGGCCCTTTGGGATGTGCAGGCTAAACAGCACATGGGGCGAGAGCCTTGCTGGCTCTGATTACACAGCTCGCTTAGGCCGTCTCCGCTCCGGCAGTCCGTCACTAATCCACGCGTTAGCGCAGAAAAGACAACTGACTCACTGTGGAGCAACTTGAAACACTTAAAAAAGTCTGAATTATTTAGCGTTTTCTCCTTGCACCAGAATGGCGTGGCAGTAGCAGTGTGAATTGTTGGGAGGCCCAGGCTCTCTTCTCCCCTCTCTCCCCCTGAGAGGATTTTCCTCACAGGTAACTGAGGGACAGAGCCAATCTTCCAGCTCTTCATCAGCTTCTTCCACGTCCTTGGTGGGAAGGATCGGGGGTGAGGAGGCCCAGCCAGGGCTGTGTGCCCACCCTTGCCCCACCATAGGCCAGGCACCCTGCCCAAAGGCCCTGGGGAGCCCGCCTGCCATAAGGGAGGAAGGGGCACCCTGTTGGCGACAGACTCAGGGAAAACCCTTCTCTCCCTCCGATCTGTTTAAGGACCAGAACACAGCCAAGGTGTCTGAAGTGTGGGGTGCTGGGGGAGGCCAGGCCCTGCCTGCTGTGGGGGGACAGGCTGGGAGGGACCCCCGGGCTGAAGGACACGGAGCTGGGGCCAGCAGGGCCCTCCCTGTGGCTGCGGCCATGGAGCAGCGGCCCAGAGAGCCGAGCACATCTGTCAGCTCATTGTCTGTGCGGAGCCGAGAACAAAGAGGAAAACAACAGAAAAAAAAATAAAAAAATGCAAAATGCATTTAAAAATACTCTTTCAATTTCCCTTTTTGCCAGAAGCAGAAGTACTTAAATAACAGAGGACAAAAGCAGCTCTTGCAGAATTTCCAAGAATTGGGAAAAATAAAAGGTCCTGTGAGAAGGGCTGTTTTTAGGAGACTTCCACCCCTGTCCCGCCAGACCTGGGCATGCAGCCTGGGGAACCCCCGCAGAAACGCGCCCGCAGCGGCCTCCCCCCTCTCCAAAGCAAACACCAGCCTCGCGGCTGCAGTATTTCAAGTCACGTCGGTTCCTTGGGATCTGTGTCCCCTATTCATTTTAAAACCAAGCTTTCAGAAAGGTATGAGGCAATTTTTTGTTCCCATCAGTATTTTGCTTCTGCAAATTGCTTGGCTGAAAGGCTCAGCAGAATATAAAAATCAAAGGGGTAGAGATTAAAATCTGAAATAAAAAAAAATAAAAGTAATAAGGAAGGCATTGCTAAAAGATGTTTCTGGGAAGTGTGGGCGACAGTAGATTTAAGAAATATTTGTATCCAGATGAAGCATCCAGTTTGTGTACAAATGTCCTGTCACTAGTGATGTACTCTTATAAAGCTCGGGGGTTACTTTGATGATATTCCATACAAGGGGATCAAATTTTATTTTCCACTATAAATACAATTTTGTGTAACAGAATGGAGACGAGCTGTGTGGATGTAATTAAGAACAGAAAGACTTCCAGTGGTTCAGAGGTAGAGGCTGTTGCATGCGCGATGAGGTGGTTTTACACTGAGTACGGTGAAGATTTGGTGCTTTACAAGTGACTTTAGGACTGCTGGTGGCCTCTGTCACAGCCTGCAGCGGTGGCAGTGCTGGGGCGCAGATCCACAGTTGGACACATTGGGCTTGTTCCTTGTTCAGCGGAGATGTACTGCTAGATATCACATGATGAGGCTTCATATAGCACTTATAAGAAATGAGTAGGGCATGCATAACAGAAATCAAACACCCTATGTAGCTGGTTTCCCAATTACAGTAAGAATCTGTCCCTGTTGCACTACATCTAGAAAAACCCACACTCCTATGAGAATTCAGAGCATCTGCCAGTTTCACTGTGCAGCACTTCTAAAAAACGGCCCTGAAGTGTCTCAGTTGGCTTGCTTTCACCTCTATGCATCCCTTACAAGATCTGGATTCTTAGCTAGTCTTTCCTCCACCTCCTCGCCCATTCCACCACTTACCACACTGGTGGGGAGCCATGTGGCCTTAGATTAAAATAGTGGGAAGTCTGTTGAGCTGCTGACCAAATGTGACCATTAATGAGTTATCCAACCTTCTGCTGCCCTCCATCAGTCAAGCTGGCTGAAATCAAGTCTGGTAGAAGGCAGATGTTGCACCTGTGCTAAATATTTCATTCCTCAGTTTGGCTAATTTCTACAAAAACACTTGATTTTAATATGTATGTTAGCTTTTTCCTGGCAAGAGAAGTGTTCAATGATGTGTTTAAATTAAATGCTGTTGCTTTTGGTTAGGACTGGGAAGGTGCTTGAAAGTCCATTTTGAGTGCTTTGATAACTTGATGCCCTTAATTTGTCTCCTTTTTTTAAGTCAAGCTTTACGATTAAAAAAAATACAGTAAGGTTAATATTGTGATATTCTTCCAGATGGGCAGCAGATCTGGGAAATGGAGGCAACAGTGGACAAAGATAAGAGCCAGCCTGTAAGTATGCAAAAGAGTGGATGTCCTCTCCTTGAGCTTCTCAGACAGCAAGTTGTATTCAAGGGGTAGTTTTCAAAGAGAGTCTCAAAAGCAGAAAGAGCAGCTATCTTACTGCTGTGATGAACAAATGTCAAATGCTTCAGCAATAAATGTGTTGCAAAAAGAAACTATTCATTTAGCAGTATCCCACAGCAAACTGAATAACGGCTAGATTTTGTGTTCTTGCAGAAGACTCTATTGTATCAGCCCGCTCCTCTGCAGGATGCTGGCTGTCCTGACTTCCTTTGGCCTGTATGGAAGTCTTGGGTGCTCTGTACTTTGCAGGACAGGACTTGTACTATAGTATTTAAAATGAACGTTGGTCTTTCAAGGGAATGAGCCTCTTTGTTCGTTTTGCTTAATGGGACCTTACTGTCGTTGTTCAGTGCATTTAGGAGCTAGCACTCGCATTGCCATGGGCCATGCCTGCCCTTGCGGAAGAGAACGGGACACTTCTTGTTAATTTCCACGGAAGCAGGATATTGCTGCGTATAAGAGAAAAGCCTATAAAATAATCAAGTTTATTCTAAGAAAAAGAGGGAATTCTGCCATACATACTTGTTCATCAAGCACAGTGTGATCAACAGTGCTGCTACATTTGCCACTGTTCTGCGTGCTTTAAGCTGAGACCTCTCTCCCCAAATTCAGGACAACATCAAGTACAAGAGAGGATACAGTACATAGAAAGCAGCTTCCTAGTACCAAAAATCTTCTAGTCTTTCACCATCTGCCCTTTTTTTTCCCCCTCTCTTCTTCTCATACCCTTCTTCATAGGGAAGAATAGGAAGATTTCCTTTATGCCTGGACGTGTAACAGAGAGATCCACACAAGAATCTGCAGTCAGCCTCAGTTACTAATTCTGTATTGTCACTTTTCATTGTTTCAGAGCATGCTCTTTGTAGAAATACCAGAGTACCGTAACAAGCACATTCGCACAGCTGTGAAGGTGAATTTCTATGTCATCAATGGAAAAAGAAAAAGAAGCCAACCCCAGCATTTTACCTATCACCCAGGTAATTCTCAAGGACAGAGCAAAATTTTAATTTCTGCTGTGTTGTTTTCTTCCCGTTATTTGAAGATCTAATTTTTACTAATTTAATTCAGCTGAGTGCAGCTAAGCACTCAACAACTCTTTGGTTTAAAGGATGCATGTGATTTATGGTCAGGAATTTCCCATAAATTTAAGGAGACAGTTATCTTGGCAATGGGCTGATGCTGCCCCATTCACTTGATGGAAGTTTGCCAACAGCCTCAGTGGGAGCAGACTCAGTCTGTGACATGATGTGACCCTGTGAAAACCATAAGCATTGCCTTCCCCAGCTGACGTGTGTGACAGTAAGATAACATCAGATCTGGGAAAGTAACAAGGGTTTGGTATGGAGGAAGGCGAGCAATATATATTCTCCAGAATGAGGCTGGTTGAGGAAAATATGAATGCTTTTCTGATGTTCTTCCTCTTGGGAATTGGTGAGCTATGTCACAATAAATGCAAAAGGATTACTAATGAGATTCCCAGAATTTCTCAGCTTTGGCTGGGAGAAAAATATTGTGAGAAAATCAGAGTATTGTGTTTGTGGAAACCAGAAAGCATAAAATAACTTTTTTTTAGTAGTTACCAGTACCAGATTTTTTTCAAACTTCAAAATGATGTCTTTATTTGACTGTTTTCTAAGGATGGGCAAACATTCATTCCGATTCTTATTTTGGTCTCCTCCAGCCTGGAAATCTCTGATTCTCTCCCTGAATTTATGAACTGTATAGGGTATGTGAAGGTTTTGTATAGCTGCTAAATTGTTCTCCTGTGGAATAGTATTGATAAGTACAATACTATCTTAATAGAATCCATAAAATAAACCACTTCAGAGAAGGAATTCCTAAACTTCCAAAGAATAACCCCATTGCATGACTGTTATATGGTTTTCATTGTATGGTATTTCAGTACTGAGTTTTGGGGAATATTTTACAAAACATAAGAAATGTGAGAACTTGTCTGTAGAGGGAAATCATTTATCCACACCAAGATTCACACAACTCTTACTAAATCATGGTTTTTTAAATGACAGTGTCAAAAAACTCTTCAGCTTTTATTACTTGAGGAAGTTATAAGCAGTAAAGGAACTAAAAAGAAAGCTCTAAAACAATTCAGCTCTGCCTTTGGTCACTAGTTAAATGTTTGACAGAAAAATGAGGAGTTGTATATGTCATAGTATTTCTATTTATTCAGTCTTCCTTTGAGATGGAAGTACTACATGGAACTATACCTATGGCTTCTTCCCTTCCTTTTATTCCAGAATGGCCCTTAACTGAATTTAAATACGAGCTGAAGTATTGAACTTTTCAATTTTTAGAAATTTGTGGTTAAATAGATCATTATAGATTTTCAAGAACATCTTAGCACAGAGGGCTTTCAAGAAAGACTCCGCCATGATTGCATATACGTGATTTATTAAACTTGATGCCTGTGAGATACGAGCTTGCACATGCAAATGTTGCAAAGGTTTAAGTCTGTTATTACTTCAAGGAAAATCTCTCTGTTTATCAGCTTGTTACGAATAATGTCCTTTGCATGCTTTATTCTAGTACCATCAATCAAAACAGAGCCCATTGATGACTATGATCCAGCCTTAATCTGCAATACAGTACACAGTGGTCTGGGAACAGTAACACAGCCTTACTATTCACAGCACACAATGGTCACCGAATCCCCTTCCTGTCTTGTGGCCACTATGGCTCCTTGCCAGCAGTTGCGCTCAGGCCTTTCTTCTCCTGATTCTCGATACCATCAGCAGAATCCAGCCGCTGTAATATACCAAAGAAGCAAGAGCCTTAGCCCGAGCCAACTGGGCTACCAGCAATCCAATTTGATGGCCGCTCCAGTTGCTATTTCAGATGCCCATAGGTCAGTGCTGGTGCACGCTGGTTCTCCGGGCCAGACTTCAGCAGTGCTCCACCACTCTCCAGGCAACCAGCAGTCTTCTCCAGTGATTCACTATTCTCCAACCAACCAGCAGCTGAGGTGTGGTAGTCACCAAGAATTTCAGCACATCATGTGCTGTGAAAATTTTACGTCCAATGTTGCAAGATCCAACCAGCCCCAGGTCAGTCAAGCACAAAGGTTAAGTCCGAGTTCATATCCTACCGTGATTCAGCAGCAGACAGCCTCAGGCCAGCGAGCAGCAAAAAATGGACCACCGGTTAGTGATCAGAAAGAAGTGTTACCAGCTGGAGTCACTATTAAACAGGAGCAGAATCTGGACCAAGCATATCTGGACGACGGTAAGCACTGCTCTTTTCTTCTATGGGTTGGTTTGTTGGAGGGAGGAAGTTTAGGACTTACAAATCCCACCTGTTCCTTGGCACAAAACCAACGTGGCCTCCTTTTGATGGGTGTGGATATTTGCTGTTTGTTCATGTTGCATTTTGGTGTTTCATCAACTGCATTTTTGGTAGAGGGAAATGCACTTTGGCAACTGAGCTAAAAACATAGAGTTCTGCAGAAACCCTGTCTTGCTTTGTGACATGGAGTGAGCTGTCAGGTTTCAAGCTGTTGCCATTTTGTTTCCTTTTGCAAAAGGTTAGTTTGGAAAATGGAGAATCTGAAACAAAATGCACTTTTAAATTATTTTTTTATTATTCATATCAGGGCAAAGTCCACTTTGTAAAATGCTTTTGTACATTTTGTACCCAAAAAAAAAAAAGCTCATTGAGCAGTCTATCAAGGCCCGTAATGAATGGGGTAGTGCTGCAGGCAAAACTATTGCAGATGTTCTAGATGAACAGTAGGACATTGATAAGTAAAACAATGCTGTTTCTTTGTAGTGAGCCAGCAGATTTAGCCTTTAGGAATGAATATAAGTTAGAGTAAAGCTTTCTTTGAACGTATCCTGCTTATTCTTAGGTAGGCAGCTATTGGCAATCTGGTTGATCGGTTCTTTTAATAAAGTGTATTCCTTGCAAGGGGAAATAATGTAAAGTTAATAGTGCAGCTGGATGCTGCAATCATAAAGGCCAGTAGCAAACCCGATGCTTATTTTAGTGGGAGCAGAGTGAGGTTGCTGGATATATTGCTGCAAATATAGGGTGTTCTTATGCATGAAGTACAGACCTGATTTTCACGTATATTCACTGCTGCTGTCCTCTAGGCAATTGCATGCACGGTTTGATCTTGTAAATGTGCACCATTATGTGCTTTGTAAGCACCCAGTAGTTTGAGATTTTTACTGCAGTTACCTAGAGTTGTGAAATTGTGCCCATGAAAGTTTTACTTTCTTCAACTTTGGTACTGAGTGCTTTGTGGCTGTATCCTGTACAGTCTTCATTGCTGTTTCTGTGGGCAGAGTAGAGTTCGGATAGTTTTCTCTGTTAGTCTGTGTTTGAAATGTGGTTGATGTAGCTTTGGTGCCATCACAGTAAAATCTAGAGAGTTTTTACTGGTTTCCATGTCTGAAGAGCAATGTTGGATTGGGTTTTAACAGAGAATTTGATTTAGGAGTTTTGCTGGATCTGCAAGAAAATAGCTAAGTAAAATCCACTTCCCATTCAGGGAATGGGGCATGATAACAAAGCAAGATAATCTTTCTAGTAGTAAAATTGAACACTGTGTTTTAAGGAACTTTTAATATGAGAAGCTGAGAGGTTCTTCCATGTTTCTAAAAATACTTGGTACAAACCTTGTAAAAGAAATAAAAAAGAATCTAGAAGTAAAAGCTAGCAAACTTCTGAGTCGAGCCAAAGTCCACTTAAATGGACTGCAAAATTAATTTCACTGGGCTTTGGATCAGGCCATTAATATCTAACTATAGCATAGCTCACAAGGGATGTAGTCAACCTCTGTGCTGAGAGGAGCCATTAGGCAGAATAGCAGCAAGTTAATAATGAAATTCCAGGCTTCTGTTTAGCTGACTGGATCATCTTGAACTGATTTCAACTAGAGATTAATTTATCAATTATGCCACCCAACTCAGGCCAGGCAAGATTGGTCACATGCAGTCTCTTTACTGACCTCACTGAATTTACATTAGCTAGAAGTGTGACTTGGAGAACTGTGATTTACTTTAGGACTTTGCAAAACATTTCATTCTGAAATGTTCAGGACTTGAATTGAAAAGCCACTTTGTTTGCTGCTGGGTAAAAGTGACTCAGAACATAACAAAAGCCATATTTTTCCTAACTAGAAAGTTTATTTTTGTGCTTTAAAGTATTAAAAGAAAGCAAACCCAAAGGATTATGGAGGCTTTACCCTCAAATCCCTTTTATCCAGAAAGCTCTTCTGAGATAAAGTGAGCTGTTAGGTCTTGCTGTGATTTTTCACAGATAGATACTGAGATGATGGTTCCCCAGCCAAGCTTGGCATGAACACACTGCACTGCCACTGATGCACAGACTCTTAGGCAACCACTGTTCAGTGTCTGTTGCTTCCCTTCTCTCTTCTTCCCTTCCCCCATCTTCCTCCCTCTTCTTTGTTCTTCTTTATCCGTATTTCTGCTGACAGTCCAGCTTTCGTCCCTTTGTACGGTTGTGACCTCCTCCTGTCAACTCTTGTCCTCTGCTTATGTGGTTAATGCTCAGCCTTGGTGTTCTGGTCTTTGCTTCTATTCTGAGCTTTGCCATGAACTTCTTGAGGGACTTGGGACCAAGCCCTGCTCCATTGGTTCCTCATTCCTGAAGCTTTTGCTGTCAGAGTCTGTATGCTGTCCCAGTCTTTGAGCTCTCCTGGAAGTGACCAAAAAAGAACATCTCATGGCTAACACAATTACTGTTTCTCCTTACCTTTTCCAATCTCCTGCGGACACTGCTGACAGGACCTTTATCTCCCCTGCTGTAAAAAGAAATATGTATTTGTCCTTCTTTCTGAGATTGTGGTTTGTTCTTTGATCAGAGCCTTCACTGCTCCATAGGGCATATAATACTGGGGACTGAGCACACCTACCATGTTTTTACCTCCTGCCTCGTAAAGATAAGAGCTGGTTCCACTTCCAAAGATAAGAGCTGGTTCCACTTCCACAGGAGGTTTACAGTCAAATGTGTGACATAGATCACAAAGCTGTAAGTTCTTAAGGTTGAATAGCACCAGCAGTGTAGCCAAAACAGCATGGACCTTAAGGCAGGTGATGGCAAGTATTTAGCTGTATTCTCAGGTGGGTTTTGCCATGTGCGAGGAGCTCTTTGCAGTAGCTGCACAACTGGTACTGTCTGTACTGGCTACCTTAATAATAACTTAAGAATGTCTGTTGCTCATTTCTGATCATACTGCAGATGTAGAGAGCTGGTGCTACCTCAGAGCAAGAGATGCCCAGCCCAGCTTGTGCACCCCCCTTCCAACTTCTCAGTTTTGTCCTCCCAGACAGAATTATGAAATGTGTGGTTACTGGAAGAAAGGCTCTAGCTATCAAGTCATATAGGTTGGATTTGGAAGTGCAGCCATTGGGAAGACTGATGCAGCTTAGACATTGCCACATATATGTATACCTTCTTATACATATTCCTCTGTGTTTGTCAAAAAACCCTAATCTGTAACTTTTTTGTATCAAGTCGTGTAAAGATGAATCCCCAGAGGAAGGCAATATTCATGAAAAATTGGCAGAGAAACCTTTGTTACACACCTCTGCCTCAGAGATTCATTACTATTGGAAATACTCTGGGGGTGAAGATGGTTAGGAGATCCTTCAGGACCCATCTGGTGTCCAGGCTACTGCTGGCAAGCAGTGATTGGCTTCGAATGCAAGTGAAAGCCATAGGATGAGGAAGTGCTGAGCACATTTCAGCCAAGGCCTCATCTTAATATTGTTCATAACCAAAACCACCAACAATGGTAAAAGTTACACAAACAACCACAGAAATATGTTGACAAATAGAACTTTGTTCTTCCAGGACCTTCAGAGCAATCAGATTAGCTATTTAAAGCACAACCCCAGTTAAAAAAAATAGTTCTTTGCAGCACCATCCAAAATGCCTTGGTGGGACAGGATCAAGAGAGGGTGACCCAGGGCTGGGGGCACTGGTCGTGCCCTGGGTTGCCCACGCTCATGCTGCAGAGCTGGAGGTTTCCTGTGTAGCCCTGGGGAAGCTGCTCAGCTGCCATGTGCCACAGTTCCCCATCTGCGGCACAGAGATACAAGGATTGTGTGACAAGAGCAATAGGAGGATAAATGCATCACAGACTCTAAAGCACTCAGATGCGACGGTCTAGAAGTGCTTTACAGAGACTGAGTGTCAAGTATGGTGTTAGGCTCTTTTCATATACAAATAATGGACGTGTAGCTGTTGTCTTGAATGTTATCAACTTGCCTGCCTTAGATTTAGTTCTTCTTTTTGCTTCAGCTGTCATGTTGTGTGCTTTTTACTTTACAAAGAAAAATGATTGTCATTATTCAAATAGTAACTATCTAACCACATCTGATGCTCAGAGCTGTCTGTTTGATGCAGTGGCTCTAAATTATTTTTGGTGCACCAGTAATCTTTAATGGGGAGGAGAAAAGCAAGGCAGATGCTTGTGTAGTGGTTTATCAGACTGCTGATCAGCAGAGATGTTTTACAGTGAACTCATGTATTTCGCAGAAAATTTCACACATAGCAGATATTTCTTTAGAAAATGGATCTGCAGGGTGTGCAATCTGATGCTTGTAAATCACCCAGCACTTTAAATCACCTTCCTATGAGCAAAGTGTTAATTTGTGCAGTTTTGGTCCCTCCCGCAATGACCATTCCCTAACCATGGGTCTCATCCGAGACCATACGGAGTGTGTTAGGTCCCTACATTTTCTTTCTGCATTCTTTTATTCAACAACAAGAAAATCCACACTCTGCCCCCACGGTGGCATGAAATGAAATTCAAACCCCTTCTTTCCTCCACATTCAGGAATAATCTTTCTTTTCTGGCCAGCTTTTTTCCTCTGTAGCCCGGTAGCAGTTAGGCACGAGCCTGAGCAGGGTGTACCTCCAGGAAACCCCGGGTCTCCTGGGGACCCGAGAAGGAAAGCGACTGTGTCAGCCCTGAGTAAGCGTCAGTCCGGGACTGAGCTCTTTCCTGCCGCCCTCCCTGCAGCGCTCAGCCCACTCTGCATCCGTGCTGGTCCCGTGTGCTCCTCGGGGAGACCGGTGTGTGTCCGTGGATGAAAGGAGAGGGTCAGTACAGCCAGGAGGGAAAGGCAGAACACAAGGCCCCTTGCAGCCACCGTGCTCCTTAGGGCTTTGGCTCAGGTGCCAGCACATTGGGAGCATCCTGCTCGCCCTCCCCAGCCCCTCCACGGCGGATGGAGGAGGGGGTGGCATGAAGC